ACACACACACACACACACACACACACACACACACACACACACACACAGAGTGAGTGGGGCAGCCATGAGATGATCTAGCTTTTAAATAAAAACATCAGAAAACCAAGTTCTACTACTGTGCCTCCTTACCTGGCTACTGTACACTTGAGTATTGTATAACCGGGCTAATAAGAGTTATATTCACAGGCTCTTAGATATAGTCAAATCAAGTCAACAGGCATTTATTAAGCTCCTGCTGTGTGCCAGGCACCGTGCAAAGTGCTGAGGATACAAAGAAAGGCAGAAAACAGCCCCTGCCTTCGAGGACATCACAGTCTAATGGGACTGGCAGGGGTTTCAGAGGCTATCCGATCCAACCCTCTCCCTTAAAGGGAGACCTAAGGAGATGGAGTGATTCATCCTGAGGGACGTGAGTAGGGAGCATTGAAGATGGTGTTCACCTCAGCTCCTACTCTGAACTCCAAGGCCAGAGCTCTTACCCAACTTGGTAATGACCCAGCAACTTTGGAAGCCCTCTTACAAGAATGACATTTAGGCTCCAAAAAGATCCTGGCAGGCTGGAATAGAATGTGATGATGGCATTTAATAGAGATAAACATGAAATCCTATGCTTGAGTTTCAAAAAACCAACTTCACAAGTAGAAGATGGGCATAGACATGGATAGGCAGCAGTTTGTCTCAAAAAGATCTGAGGGTTTTAGTGGACTACAAGCTCACCAGAAGTCAACCAGGTGACCTGGTATGGAAAGGATCAAATGAAATAATAAGTGAAAGCCCCAGGAAGAATGACAAACCCTGTACAAATGTGACGACAGGCAGCACAGGATAGTGGGCAGAAAGCCTGCCCCAAAGTCTGGAAGACTCGAGTTCAAGTCCCAAAACTCTGACACGTGGGCTTTGTGATCCTGCCCTGGGAAAACCTCTAAGACTGGAAGTTATAGAAAAGGTGCCAGCGTGCATTGGTAGAGGGATTTCCTCACCTGGGACTTCCATATCCAAGAATAAAGTTCTTGACACCCTCAAAAGTTTCAACATCAGCAAGTGAAGTGATTTTATTAGTGGAAAGGATATAAAAGAAGAGGGAACATCTGCTTTGCTACTGTTCCCTAAGGATCATGGCACCTTAATCTTCCAAAGGTGCTGCCCTTCTCCAGGGCTTCTCTATTTGCGTGTCCAGCTCTGAGTGCCGTGTACTGGGTGCACACAGTAAGAGCTTAATAAATGCCTCCATTCATTTACTCACAAAGCACTGAAATCGCAGGTCTGGTCCCTATCCCCTAAAGATGAATAAGGCATTGGCTCTTCAGGGAAATAGACGTACGCTTACACAAATATACTCACACACATACACTTACATACTCACTCACATACAAACACATACTTTCTCTCTCACACACAGATACACTCCAACCTTTCCCATCCTATTGTTCTCTCCACCTAGTCCATAGCCTGGGGAAGCAGAGTGTGTGTGTGTGTGTGTGTGTGTGTGTGTGTGTGTGTGTGTGTGTGTGTAGGGTGGCCCTGGAAGGGTCCAAGCCCCCCTCAATTCATCTTTGTTCCCATATATTTGTATAGGGATCTTCATTTTCAAATAGCTGTCAGTCCATCATCCCATTTGATCCTCTCAGCATCTTCCATAAAGGAAACAGGGCAGGGATTATTATACCCATTTTACAGATCAATCTAATCCAAAATTAATATACATTCATTAAGTACCTACTACGTACAAAACACTGTGTACTAAACCACCAGGGATATAATAACAAAATTAAAAACAAGCCCTGCCCTCAAGTAGCTTACATTTTACTACATTTAATTAAACAAAGAACAGGTCTCATCATTTGAGGAGGGAGCAGAGATCCCCCTTCTCCACAGGGAAGGTGATGCCAATACTTTATTCCACAGCCTGTCCCAGCATGGAACCCCTTCAGATTTGGGACCTCATTCATTGCTGTAGTGGTTCTGCCCTTTCACCCCTTTGTACTCGGTGGTGAAAGTCTTGCCAGGTAACCAAAAACCCAGGGCTCTGGACTCACCAATGCAGTCTTTCAGGAGGACGTCAACAGGCTGGGGCTGGTCTGAAATGGTGAATTTGATGGCGGTGACGACGGTGCTACGTGCGTGTGGTGAACCTGCCGGGATCCAGAAGAAAGCATGACCCAAGGGGAATGGGCCAATTCAAGATAACAGTCATGGCATTGTGGGTGGAGCTGGACCCTCTGCCTCCACGGGAAGCCCAGTCTCCCTCCCCACCATCATGCAGAGAAAGCGACATCAACACTTCACTCCTGGTGCTGGTGCTCCTTCAGATTTGGAACCTCTTATCATTGCGGGGGCAGCCCTGGCCTTTGCCCTCTTCTGTTCTCAATGGTCAGGGAGAACGCATGGGAAAGAACCCGACTTACTGCCAGCTCTCAGTTATCCACTCTGAGGAACGGGAACAAGAGGGATAATATAAAACACCCATTCCAACCCACTTCTGTTTCGGAGTGTGGTGTGAAATGTGTGAAATCTTTCCTAGGATCATTTTTACAGAGTGCTCTGAGATAAAGAGAATTCAGACTCTAAACCAGCCAGCTTCAAGACCCAGGGACAAGTCACCACCTTCCTAAGCCTCAGTTACCTGGTGAGGAAATGGGAGAGTGAGCCAGGTAACACACAGAGGGCTGACTTTGGAATGAGGAAGCCCTGGGTTCATATCCTGCCCCTAACACATGTTGGCTGTGTGACCCTAGGCAAATCACAACCTCCAGAGCTCTGGGTGATTCTCCAAGACAAGGAGTCACAAACAACAGCTGATCTGTTTCAGCAACAATGGAGTTCCCTACACGCTTGATGAAATCATAGGTCCGGACCCAAAGAAGAGTAACATTTGAGTGGACAACGACAATTACATTATCTATATCACAGGACTAGTGAGAAGAAAGGGACTTGGCAATCCTAGAGTGCTACAGAAATAATAGTAATAATAATAACAACAACATAGGTAGCATTTATATAGTGCTTCCAAGTGTGCACAAAGCTTTACAACATCATCTCATCAGATCCTCACAACAACTCTGGGATTTTTTGATTCCCATTTTACAGTCGAGGAAACTGAAGGAGACAGGTTAAGTGACATTGTCGAAATGAGGCTGAATTCTGTAGGCAGCCCCATCTAAAGTGGGCAGCGATCTCTTTGCAAAGGTGGGGGGCCATGGGTATGGAATACTGCATACACTGTCAGGGACAGTCTTTGTGCTGCTTGGTTTTGCGGAATTTTTTTTTTTCCAAGTGGGCTGGAAGGAAGCCAGTATGGGCCTCTAGAATGAGACCCCCACGTGGGTAACTGAGAGCTGACTTGCTTTCCCCTTTTTTTCTTTCCGGGATGAGAACACCAAGGAGGCACTTTGAGGAGGGGAGAGGAAGCAATCTCTAGGTACTCCATGTGATTCTGGGTCCCTCTGATCCGCCCCCCTCCCCGGGCAGCTGACTCCCCAGCACCTCCCTTCATTTTTACCTGCAAGGAGCTGCTTCTGCAGTTGGGGCAGCAGCTGGGAGGGGTTCACCAGGGCCAGCTTCCCCAAGCACTCGGCCACCACGTTGCGGGTACCTTCCTCGGCGCACTCACAGTGCCTGAAGAGCAGGGCCCAGATGTCATCCACGTAGGGCTTGAGGCCTTCTGCTGGGGCCGCGCCAATGGTCTCTTTCAGCGAATGCAGCAGCAGGTACTGCCTCTTGGGCTGGGTGCCAATCTCCCCAAGCAGAAAGGGCAGGTATTCGGGGAGGTTCCGGGCACCCACGCAGCCCAGTGTGTAGGAGGCTGCTGACCTCACCTCCTCGCTGGGTGATGAGAAAGCCTCCAGCAGAACAGTCTTCAACTCGCGCTGGGGCCCCATCTCGGCCACCACGTGGCCCATCTCGGCCAGTGCCAGAAAGGCCAGAACCTTGATGCCTGCGCTGGAGCGGGGGGATTGGGCATCCCGGATGAACTGGCCCACGGTGCCTGCTGCCTCCTGGGGACAGGCAACCACCAAGGCCGCCAAGCACCTGGCCACCGAATGGTGCGCCTGTTTGTGGAAGGGAGGCGAGCTCGGACCCGCGTTGTAGATGGGGCTTGTGAGCTGCTTCTTTAGCTCGCTGTAGCTCAGGCGTGGGGCCCGCGTGCCCATGAGCGCCTGGAAGAAGCCCGTGATGGCCGTCAGCGCGCCAGCCTGCAACAGCGGCGAGTACACCAGCTGCAGGACTTCGGAGAGGATGGGGCCGCTGGCCTTGGCCAGTGAGGAGGGGTGAGCCTGGGCCAGGCTGGTCAGGAAGCCCACGGCCACCTGGGCCACGTGCATGTCGCTCTCCCCGATGAGTGGGGGAAGCTCCCCCAGCACCGCCTCCATCGCGGCTGGCGGGAGCGCCGTCCTGTAATTCCGTGCCAGGACCTCGAGGGCCGCCAGGGTGGCCAGCTTCAGGGCCCGCTGATTCTTCCGCAGGAAGGAAGCCAAAATGGGCAAAGCATCATCGATGATGGGCTGCAGGTCGACCCGCAGCGGGGATCCCGCCACCAGAATCAGTGCCTTGACCGTGGGCAGCCGGGTGATCTCATTCTTTAGCCGCTCCAGGAAAATGAGCAGGGTGGGCTTCAGCTCATCCCCCAGCCAGTCTCTCAGGTGGGCCATGATGTGACCCATACAGGCGATGGCTCGCTCCTTCACCTCCTGGTCCAGGTCAGCTGCCTTCAGTCTCGCGAGGGTGGCGGTGAATATCTCCTTGACGTAGGGTTGGGGGTCCAAGGTCAAGGGCCGGTCCAGGGGCCGGAGGACTTTCACCAACTGCTGGGTCACCAGCAGAGCCTCTGAGGTTATCTTGTAGAAGGGGTCAGACACACTAGCCACCACTGGTGGCAGCAGGACTGGCAGGTGGGTATGGAAGGCCTCAGGAGGGTGGGTACATAGGAGAACATGCAGGAAGGCCAACGTATCAATCCGCATGTTAGAAGAGCTGGCCCTGTCTGTCAGGGAGAAGATAATGCCTACAGCCAAAAGTACGTGGGGGCAGGGAGAAGAAACGGAAACAACATCACCAGGAGAACCAGATTCTTTATGGAGAACCCCTGCTATTCAGCAGCGCTGAGCTTCCACAACCCATTCCCTATCATAGAGTGTCTAGCTAATGCAATGGCTGACTCAGCACCATCCTCAGTGTATACAACTGGAGAATTAATCTATGCACATGGATTGTCTTGTTTACCCAGATATAGGGTGGGTGCTTTGAGGTGTCAACTATACTTTCACCCAAGCCCCCTTGTGATTCATAGCCAGAAACCCAGGTAAGAATTTGGTTTCATAGTATCATGGCTTTGAGCTGGAATGGACCTTCTGGGCCTAACCTCATTTTACTACTGCGGAAACCGAGGTCCGGAGCAGGTTAGTGACTTGATCTGAACTCAAGTCTTCTTGACTCCGAATACAGCTTCTAGTATTAATGGGGTCGCAAAAACAGTTACGGGACAAAAAGTATAGATGCCTTCCTTCTTCTCCAAGTATAGAGAAGACACTTTCCTTCTTCTCCTGATGTCCCTGGCTGGTGGAGATGCTAAAAGCCACAAAGGACTGGGACGGCGGTTTCTTTATTCCTCTTTGGGTCTTCCAAGGCCTCTGGTGCAAGGCTTTGCACGTGGCAGGCCCAATAAACTCTGTGTTGCCTGGGCAAATGAAAGAAAACCAGGCCAACCAGTGAAAGTTTTCATTGGCTGCTCCACTGCTGAGCGAAAGGTGAGTCATCCAGCGACAAGGCGGCACAGGGACCAGAGGGGCTACTGGAGACTCGTGGATGGGTCATTCCTCTCCTTTCCAAGGGGCTAATTCAGCATGAGAAAAGCAGCTGGGATCACAGTCCAAGCATACTAGGCATCTCTGTTGCTTTACTAGCTTCCTCAGTAACTGGGTGAGTTGGGAAGGGAGGACGAGGGGTGTAGAAGGGAGACGGGGAGAGGTTCTGGATAAGATTCAGGCAGTTCCCTACGGCACAAACAACCAAATGCTCCAGTACAGTTATACAGCTTCCAGCCAGCACAAATGGGAAGAGGACGAGGGTCTGGACAACGACCGGCATTATCAAAGTAAAGGATGGGGGTGGGGGCTGGAGGTGCCGGTCCTTAGCCAGCCTAGAGGTGGGACGGGGCCATAATGTGGATAAGGCGATCACAGGATCACAGATTTAGAACGGGAAGGGACCTAGTCTAGGGGTCAGCAAACTGTAGCCCATGGGCCACATCTCATCCCCCACCTAATTTTGCATGGCCCCATAAGCCAAGAATGCTTTTTACATTTTTATACAGAGAGGCCCTTGGGCCAAAATCTGCTTATTCCTGAGCTAGTGCAAGACTCTTATTTTATTTGTTTTTGTTTTTTTGGCGAGGCAACTGGGGTTAAGTGACTTGCCCAGGGTCACACAGCTAGTAAGTGTTATGTGTCTGAGACCGGATTTGAACTCAGGTCCTCCTGACTCCATGGCCGGTGCTCTATCCACTGAACCACCTAGCTGCCCCAAGACTCTTACTTTACAGATGAGGAAACTGAGGTGCAGAGGGGCCAAGAACACAAAGCCAGGATTTGATTCTAGGTCTCTGGATTTGAATCTCGAGCTCTCTCCAAAGCACCACCGTGACAGAAGTGATCCTCACCAGGACTGGTGTGGGGGGAGGCGGATCTGTGTCCGTCTAGGAGGTCTGCCCAGCTCCCGACCCCAGCCCCAGCCCCAGCCCCGCCCTCCACCCCCAGCTCCGGTTACCTGGCACCAAGGCAGGAATATGCTCAGCCAGGCTCCCGGGCAAGACTCCAGCCAGTTCTGTAAGGACGCTAAAACAACCTTGGCGGGACTTCACATTCCGGTCCCGCAGCTGTCTCTGGAGAGCCTTGACAATATGGGGCACCTGCAGGACATCTGAGGCGCTCAGTGACCAAGCCACAAGCCTCCGATTCTCCCTCCTCCCATGAATCTCCTCAGCTGTCTCCACTGTCCTTTGGGCTCAGCAAGGGCCTCCTGGTCTGCAGCTGGCTGAGCCAGGGGCGGCCCTGGGCCTTCTATCCCTGATCCCAGGACCTCAGATCTGGAGATACAAGGGGCCTCAGGGGTCTTCCTCATTTCACTAATAATATATTGGGAAACTCAAGCCCACAAAAGAGAAATAATTTGCCCAGGCAGACAGGAGCAGACCTGGGATTTGAACCCAGTCCCCCTGGAGTCCAAATTCTCATCCTATCCTACCCCCTGGAATGATATGGATTCAGCCAGTGAAGGAAGAATGAAGATGACACCATCTCTACTCATCAATGTCCTCTGGGACCATAAGGCATCTGAGAATCGAGAATTCCTAGATTTGAGGGATAACTGTAAATTTTTAAATTTAACTTATATTTAATAATTAATAACTAAGTTATTAATTTGTTGTTCGGTCATTTCAGTCATGTCTGAATCTTCATGATTCCATCTGGATTTTCTTGGCAAAGATACTGGAGTGGTTTTGCCATTCCGCTTTCCAACTCCTTTTACAGATGAGGAAACTGAGGCAAAAAACAGAGTTAAGTGACTCGCCCACAGTCATACAGCTAGTAAGTGTTTCAGGCCAGATTTAAACTCAAGTCTTCCTGACTGCAGGCCCAGTGCTCTATCACTGTACCATCTAGCTGCCCATTAATTTATTTATTTTTAATTTTTTTTCCATTAATTTAATTCATATTAAATCAAAGATTACGGAATTGAGGGAGGAAGGCCCTACTGGCCTTTCTTCCTCTACACAGCTCATAGAGTCATATGGAAGAGATCTTAAGAGACCATCAAATCTAATCCCCTTATTTTAAAGATGAGGAAACTGAGGTTGAGAGGGGGAAAAACTCAAGCTCACACAGACAGCTAGGGACAGAAGCAGGGTTTGAATGCCGAAGACGCTATTCTTTCCAGGAGCCTCCAAAAGAACAGGGGGCTAACTGATCAGCCACGAGGGAAGTTCCTGCGGCGGGCTGGGAGTCAGGGGAACAGAAGACCCTCCATAAGCCGAAAGGACAATGGAGAGGAATGTGCAGCTGGGAGTGGACCAATCGTTCCTGGCCCCAAGACCCCCACTGTGCCCAGCTCCCTCCCCCTGATCGCTGCCCCACCCGTGGGGGGATCCCTGCTGCGCCCATTCTCCAGGCTCTGCCTCCCCACCTGATTCTGCAGCATGGTGAGGGGAACGTTCTCCTTGCCCGCCACCTCCGACGTCCGGAGCCGGCTTTGCCCGGGATGCGTCTGTCTCAGCAGCGAGATGTAGGCCCCAAAGATGTCGGCCTTGACATTCTCCTCCCGCTCCTTGAACCTGCTAATGAGCACCGGCGAGAGCACCTGGTAGAAATCCTCCAGCAAGTCGTGCCTGGTGCTAATGATGGCGGCCACACACTTGGCTGCGGCCCTGCGCACCTTCCAGCTCATGTCATCATCGTCGCTGTACTCGTCGTCGCTTTCTGGGGGCGGCACAGTCACATGGGGTTTCGTGGGGTCAACATCACAGGTCAAACCGGGAGACACCCCCTTAGTAGTAGTGGTAGCCTATCACCTATGATTATCACCCATCCATTATTTTGTTATTATTAACACATAGATTAATGTAATACAATATATTAGAATAATAATCATTACAACATAAGGAATGGTTATTAATGATATCATTAGTTAGTAATAGCTGCCACGTACAGAGTGCTTTAAAGTTTAAAAATTCTTTGGGGATATTATCCTACGGAAGCCTGACAGCAACCATGTACTAAGGCACTGGCTTCTTCTTCCAAGTCAGAGAACCTGGTTCAATCCTGCCTCTGTCCCCAGCTATGACCTTGGGTAATTGCTTGACTTCTCTGGGCCCCAGTTTCCTCACTTACTAGGTGGCTATTTCTATACCTAAATTTACTGTTAACCAAAAAAATATCACAAGTCTATGGGACAGGCGTTGCAACTCCCATATGAAAGTAGGTCTATTATTGTTCCCATTTTACAGATGAGGAAACTGAGGATCAGAGAGGTTAGTTAATTTGTCCACAGTCACAGAGCTAGTAGGAGTCAGAGGCAGGATTTGAATGCAGGTCTTTCTGACCTCAGCACTGTACCTACTACACTATCCTGACTCTTGAAAAATAGTAACCAGGAAATGGACATATTCTGGTGGGAAATCGGCTCTGAGATGTTGGTGTTGGGGAGCAGGATAAGGTTGTCATGCCCAGTGGGCGGGCATCTCTGGAAGTGAACTCTGAGTGTGTAAAACAGGAGAACAGATCAAACAGGTCAGGTCTCTGGGTGAAGCATGATGGCAAATTGAGCAATCCTGGTTCCATCTACATAACACTGAATTCCCAGGACTTGGTCCCCTGGATTATCTAGACCGAACAGTGGGCGGTTCTGTGGATGGCCCTGGTTCATGGCTGATCCACCAGCCCCACCCTTGGTTTGAATCCTTTACCTCTCCCAGATACCTCAACTCCACCCCCTCATCCCCCCAAGGCCATGAGTGAATGACCACCCAAGATGACATGCACTGACAGGGCAAAGCCAGGCCCAGAAGCAGGACCAGAGTCTTGCTGGAGTCAGACATGTTGGGTATCTCTTACCTAGGCAGCGCTCATGGGCAGGGCCCCAGGGAAGAGCCCCAGCACAATGGAGCCCGTGTGGAAAGCCTCCAAAGATGCCACAGATGGGCACACGCACTCTTTTGAATGGTCATGAAGATGCACGTATATAATCACCCCCACAGAAAGAAACTCAGCCAGAAACAACACTGATTCATAGACAGACGTGACAGACATCTATATCTACACCCCACACTATTCCCTTCTCTTTCTGCGTCTCCTTCCCCCCTCCTCTCTCTCTTCTCTTTACTGCTTTCTCTCCCCTTGTTTCTCCTCTCTTCCTTTCTTTCTCTTTTCTTTCTTTTCCTCTCTTTTTCCAAACCCTCTCTCCTTCCCTCCTTCTCCTCTCTCTCTCTTCCCCCCACTTTCTTTTCTCATAACACTCACAAAAACTCCCTTCCTACTTCTCCTAACACACTCATACCTGAGATCTGTGGTCCCATGATTCCCTGAGCCAAGAACGCTTATCTGAACACTTCTAGGACCACTTTAGAGACAACATCTCATTCTCTAAAATTCCTCTTCCCTATACATCCAAAGGGAACTATAATAACTGGGGCTGGGTCAGAGCTTGGGGGACATGGGCTGAGGCCCTTAGACAAGAGGCGATGAATCCTTTTCCCCAAAGAAAGTGGTTTTTTATGTTTTCATTATAGTGATCTGTCAGGGGGTTTTGGCTGACATTAATGGCAGCTCTTTCTCTCTCTCTCTCTCTCTCTCTCTCTCTCTCTCCCTCTCTCTCTCTCTCTCTCTCTCACACACACACACACACACACACACACACACACACACACACACAGAGTGATGGCCAGGAGTATCTACAGAGGGGGAAGTCACAGGGGCTGGTGAGTAGAGTCAGTTAGCAATTAAGTGACATGTGCTTTCCAAGAATGGATAGATTGCCTTGATTACTGTTCCCAGAGCTAGAGGGGGAAAGCAGAGGGGTAGGTGGGCAGTAGGACATTTGGATGGTTGGGGAATAGCAGCCCAGGAATCTGGGTCCAGGTAGAAAGAGGGAAGGCTCACCAATCAGAAAGCCAGGGCCCTAGGGTGATAGTGGGTGGGCTGCCCAGTCAGAAGCATTAAAAGGTTGCGCTTTATAATACAAGGTAGGTGTTCCATGTTTTATTATCCCCATTTTACAAATGAGGAAACTGAAGCAGAGATGGGATTTGAACTCAGGTCTTCCCGACACCAAGTCTACACTCTCTCACTTGTCTGTGCCTTTCTTCATTTATACTCTGCCCTTGCAAGAGTTTGAGCTCCAGACCTGAGTTCAAATCTGGCTTCTGACACTTGACAATTACTAGCTGTGTGACCCTGGGCAAGTCACTTAACCCCAATTGCCTAAGCAAAAAAAAAAAAAAAAAAAAGTTTGAGCTCTATGATGGCAGAGACTGGGTCTTTCTTAAGCCTTATACCTCCTTGCATAGGGCCCTGTACGTCACATTTAAATGTTGGAAGGGAAGTGATTTGCCCAAGGTCATATACTGAATTAGTGGCCCAGCCAGGACTAGATCTCAGATCTGTCTTCGGCTTCTCTGTCCAGGAGACCTTCCACCAGACCCTGCTGAGTCTCCACCAAACCACAGACCTTCAGGGCTCCTGGGGCTCAGGACACAAACATCTGGGAGTCAGTGCTGGCACAGCAGGGGGTTGCCACCCTTTCTCTGAGCCTTAGCCCTTCACCCCTGAGAAGGCCCTTCCTTCAAGAGCCAAAGAGTGAGAAAATGGTGAGGAGGTGGGCTTTCTCCACCTGGAAAGAGGTGTGACTGTAGCACGCAGTGGGGCCAGCCCCACTAACGGCCAAAATAAACACCTATCTACCTACCAAGCACTTTCAGGCCTCTGTCCCGCTTCCTACACTACCTGTAATGGTGCCTGATATTCTACCATTAGCGACTCCCTGGGGTAAAAGCCATGATTCAGAGTGCAATGTTATCTGTGACAAATTAACCTATCAGCCGGAATTAGTTTATGATCAGATTATATCCAACAGAGACAGTTTTGTGTTTTGGGGATTGGGACATGAGACAGAAAATTTAGGGATGGCAGAGACGGGGCAAATTTCGGAGCACGGGCAAAGATGGGCATAATACTAGACAGTCTGGGGGTGGAAGAAGAGGTGAAGGTCACAAAGAGGCCTCTGGACTTTAGAGGTGAAGCCAGGGTCCTAAACACAGAGATTAATTAGTGGACTCGTCCCACATCACATCTAAGCCAAAATATTATCTTCAGGGAAGTGAGGTGGTATAGTAGATGGAGCATTGGGCCTGAAATCAGGAGGATCTGAGTTCAAATGTGACCTCAGACACTTACTAGCTGTGGGACCCTGGACAAGTCATTTAACTTGTCTGCCTCAGTTTCCTTAACTGTAAAATGGAGATAATAATAGCACCTATTTCCTGGGGTTGTTATAGGGATAAAATGAGATTGTTTTGCAAACCTTAAAGCTCTCTATACATGCTGGTTATTAAGGATGATGGGAACCAGTGGAGGGTCTAGGCCTTGGTCTGATGAAGCAAGAGGACCACCTGCCCCATGCCCATGCCCCATCTCAATGGCCACGGCTACCTTGTTCATCGTCTTCTCCATCTTCTGTCTCCATCATCTCATCCTCATCGCTGTCATAGTTATAGTTGGGGTCATGGGTCAGATACTTCAGGCAGAGGTTGGTCACGCTGGGAATGTAGGGTCCCATCTCCTTGGGACACCTGGAGGTTGGGTGGAGGGAGGGAACGTAGTCAATTTTGTATGCAGCGAGAACAAGGGGCTTACGTTACTCTCCTAGAATGAGTGGTTCCTGGAGGCCTTAGCTGTACTCACTCCCCATCCCCAATCCCTTCCTTACAAGTAGAAAGAATTGGCCCTTAAGATTTTGGCTTGAAATTTAGCTGTTAGACAAGTTCGTAGCATGTGATTCTTGTCTCTCATTTTATGGACAAGTGAACTGGGAGACAGTGGGATGAAGTAATTTGGCCGAGGTCACCCAGATAGTGCCAGATCCAGGTGTAGAACCCAGATCTCCTGACTCCCCACTTCATGCCGCAATGTCTTATATATCATGAATCTATAAGTCACTTGGCCAGCACTGACTATACTTGGCTATACTCCTTCAACTGACCTCCAAGGCTCCTCTCCCCATCCCCTAACCCCCACCCTCAGACACAGGCCTCTCTCCCTGGTCTATGGGATTTAGCAGCCTCAGCTTTCCTAGTCCCCAAATTCGGGGTGGGATTTCTCTGCCAAAGGGTCTATCTTCTTCTTTAGCCACCCCAAACCAATCACCTTCTCTTAGGGGCCACCACCAGCTCCCTTAAGGAAGCATTTGTATGCCTTTGTGTGTGTGTATGTGTGTGTGTGTGTGTGTGTGTGTGTGTGTGTGTTTGTGTGCGTGTGTGCATGTACAGAGACTTTCCCACCAGGCAGAGTTAGAATCTGGTTGGAACCCAGGACCCAACTCCAACTCCCAATCCAGGACTCTTTCCCCATCACACTTCTCTTGCGGAGAGAGGAAACGTGATTACTTCCTCCACCAACTAGTTACTGGACCCTTGGCTTCCAATTCAATTAAAAATAAAACATTCATTGAGACCCCACTATATACTTGAGGTCAGAGAGGGACAAAGATGGTCTTGGCCCTTAAAAAGCACACAGTTTCATAAAAGGGATTCAACCCATACACAAATGGGCTGGACCAATCGAATGTAAGCTCTGTGAGGGCAGGAATTGTTTCATTTATGCCTTTGTGTGCCCAGGATCTAGCACACAGTAGGTGTCTAATAAATGCTTCCGATTTGACTGTTTGATTAGAATATCCCTTCCTGCACTGAAATGCTAGGCTTCCATGACCTTTTGTTTGTCTTTACGTTTATTATTTATAGTGAAGGCTGATTTAAATACTGCTGGGGAGGGAGACAGAGAGGAGGAGCTAAGGTAACGTGTTTCCAGAGGGCCGGAGAAGGGAGAAAACAGCTTCAGTGAGTGTGCCCAGGACTACCTCAGCCCCCAGGAACAGCCTCACCCCCACCCCGGGCTCCCAGAGACTGAGTCAAATCAGGGCTTCAGATTCGGGGCGAGCAGGACCCCAGGGCGGCCCCACCTCCGCACAAAGGACTCGAAGGCTTGGAAGCAATATTCCTGGAGCTCATCATCCTCCACCGCACAAAACTTCACCACTAACGGGACGATCCTGGGTAGGTGGGCTCCTGCAGGATGGAAAGACAAGAGGATCCAGGGCTGAGTCCCACCCAGCAGAACATGGCTCTGGCTGCCATGGGGCGTGGCTCAGCCTGCTCCACCCCAGGAGTCCAAAGTCCCAGGACTTTGATGAGTAGATTATAATGGGTCCAGACTCAACCCCGAGTCCTTTTCACTCCATCCCCAAGGTGGGTAATGACAAAGGCCTGGTCTAGGAGCTTTGTTCTGCAAGATTCAACGACTCTTATGAAGAGATTAAAAGTGAAGGAATCAGGCCCAGGAAAACAATACATATGGATCGATAACCAATAAATGCTCCAATGACATCAGCAATGAAAAGGAAAGAACCCTTTCTCCTCTCCCATAATTCTTTGTACAAGTGGAGGATGACCTGTGAGGGATGTGGCATATCAAATCAGATTTCTTTTTTTTTTTTTAAAGTAGCTTAATGTTTTTGGAAAAAATTTTTCAACTTTTTTTCCTTTCTTCATACTTTACTACGAGGGAGGGCTCTCTGGGAAGGGGCAGGAAGAGGGATACAGTTGGAAATATAGGTGATATAAAAACAAAAGTTATCAATAAAAATCAATTTTTAAAAAAGTAACTGGTTTGCAGTCTTCAGGACAGAGGGCCAGGGGGCAGAAGCCAACTGACCCCACTCTCCATCCCTCCCGCTTCCCTCCGTGGTCTTGGTGGCCCCCAGAGAAGAAGGGGAATCCACAAAGTCAGCCACCCCAGGCAAGAGGCACCGCTGGTCTGGGAGCATTCCCTAGATCTCTTTCCCCACCCTTAGCTCCTGGCTTCCACCTTTAAGCCTTTGTTCCTAACCCTGGCACTTGTATCTCTTTTCCTTCATCTCTCATTAGCCTCCTCTTGTAGGTCAGTCGCTCCCAGAGGCTGGAGGCACCTGAAAGCACTTTCATTTGAAGGTTTGGAAGTAGCCCTCGGTATAGGAAAGCCTAACCTGGTGGCTAAGTGCCCTATGGAATAGCTGTACCAGGCTTTGTTCTTAGAATCGTGGGTAATTGGGAGGAGCTCTAAGTCCTGAACAGGCCAGCTGTTCCTCTCTTATGCAACACAGTTTTAAAATGTTCTTGCTTGTATTTTTCCCAATGTTTGACAGCTTTGCTAATTATAACAGCAATACTGGGAAACAAGTGCATATTTGCCATTATTTCAATTCCTTATGAGACAGTTTGTGGGGATTTTGTTTTTGTTTGTTTTAAATCTTGGCTGTAGAAATTTTCCACAAAGTTGGAGCTCTGTACAAAATAAGCTACAGTTTCCATAATGCTTGTTTACAGAATAAATGGAGTCATTCATTAGAGGGGAAGAAAACATTCAGGCCTCAGCTGTTTTTCCTGTCTTTACATTTTGGGTCCGTGGGAGCCCACATCCTTTTTTGGCTCGGCTCGGCTGTGTCTTTACCCTGGGATCTGCCCACTTTCCGAGGGCCAGTCTGCCCTCGACTCTCCTCCGGTCATCCTATTCCCCACCTGGGAATAAGGGCTGTCACACACTTCCCTTCCTCAGTCAGCCCCTCTCCCTGGCCCTCCGTCCCCCAGAATGGCAGAAGCCCCATACCAACACGATGGCCCGCCTGCCTGCTGATGCCTCCAATACACTGGATGTAGGTACGGGTGGTGGAGGTGGACGCTTCTCCCTCCAGCTCGGCCAACAGCTGCTCCATGAGCTCCGAGAATAGGTTGGCGCTGCAGGTCATGACCAGGTGGCCCAGGGCAACAATGGCCCGCTTGCGTACTGCCAGGCGGGGGCTGGTGAGCTGTGGGACCAGGCAGTGCAGGATGGAGGAGTGGAAGGAATAGAGGGCCCCGCCCAACCTGTGACCAAAGGAAGGGGGAAGGGGACAATGGAGTCAGACTCTGGTCTCTGGGCTCGATGTCCCCACTCCTATCCCCCCAACACCCAGCCCACAACCTACCCCATTAATGGCCAGCTGAGCAGTGAAGGCACTTGGCTTCTACCTGGCCTCACTCACCCTCACCTGGATTCTGGGATGTAGGTTCAGAGAGGATGGGAAGCTTTAGTCCTAGAGAGGTTAAGGGACTTGGCTAAGAGTCCAGAACAGAGCCAGTCAATTAATTCTAGAATCCAGTGCTTGGCCTCCTAAGCCTAGGCCTGAGAAGGCTAAATGAAAGCTATTCCAGCGGGAAGTCTGTTATCTGGCACTTCCCTACAGAGAATCGGCCTTGCTTTACCAGGGAGTGGGTCCCTCCAACTAGAGATGTGTCTTAGGGAGAGAGAGAGTCCACATGGAACGATAAATAGAACTGAAAATGAAAAAAACAATGAAGGAGGATGTTTTCTACAGGTTACCTCTCAGCCACTCCTGATTTTGCCTGGGTCTCCTCTATCATTGCCCTCCCCCTCCTCTTCTCCTAGCCATGCCAATCTAAAGCCCCATTTGGCAGGGGGTGCCCCAGGTGTCTATACCTTCTCAGCCTCAGTAAATAGTTTATTCCTGATCCTTGGCACTATTGCCTTTCTCGTCCCAACCATCCTCCTAACCAGGCCAATCCAAGTCTTCACCTCACAGTGAGAACTCCAGGCATCTACACCGTCTGGGCCCCAGAAAAATAGCTCATCCCTGATGCCTGACAGGAGAACTGTTAGAAACCCAGGCAAGATGGAAGAAAGACAACTAGGAGTCAAAAACTTGAGTTCTAGTCACTGATCTACCATTAACTCACTGTGTGACCTTGGACAAGTCACAGTCTGCTGCTCTGTGAGCTTTAGTTTCCTCATTTATGAAATGGGGATAATTCCTGCACTGACAATGTTGTAAGGATTAAATGAGACCATGAGTATAAAAACATTTTGAAAAGTCCAAAGTCCTATAAAAAATAGCCAATCTGACTTGTATTCTTATAAATTTGACTTAGTTTTAGTTCTCTACATATTTTAGAAATGAGGCCCTTATCAGAGATACTGGTTGTAAAAATTATTGTCTCTGAAAAGGGGCCCGTTTCTAAAATATATAGAGAACTAAGTCAAATTTATAAGAATACAAGTCATTCCCCAATTGATAAATAGTCAGAGGATATGAACAGGCAGTTTTCAGATGAAGAAATTAAAGCCTATAGTCATATGAAAAAATGCTCTAAATCACTATTGATTAGAGAAATGCAAACCAAAACGACTCTGAGGTACCACATCACATCTATCAGATTGGCCAACATGATAAGACAGGAAAATGATAAATGTTGGAGAAGATGTGGGAAAATTGGAACACTAATGCATTGTTGGTGGAGTTGTGAAATGATCCAACCATTTTGGAGAGCAATTTGGAACTATGCCCAAAAAGGCTATGAAAATGTGTATATCCTTTGACCCAGCAATAGCACTTCTAGGGCTGTATCCCAAAGAGATCATAAAACTGGGAAAAGGATCCACTTGTCCAAAAATATTTATAGCAGCTCTTTTTGTGGTGGCAAAGAACTGGAAATTGAGAGGATTCCCATCAACTGGGGAATGGCTGAGCAAGTTGTGGTATATGAATGTAATGAAATACTAATGTGCCATAAGAAATGATGAGCAGGCAGACTTTAGAAAAACCTGGAAAGACTTGTACGGACTGATGCTGAGTGAAGTGAGCAGAACCAGAGAATGTTGTACAGAGTAACAGCCACGTTGTGTGATGACTAACATTGACAGACTTAACCCTTCTCAGCAATACAAGGATCTAAGACATCTCCAGAGGTTTCATGATGGAAAATGCTATTCACATCCAGAGAAAGAACCATCGAGTCTGAATGCAGATAGAAGCATATGTTTGTTCTTTTTTTTTTAATCTTTTGTTTTGTTTTGTTTTGTTTCTTCTTTCTTGTGGTTCCTCCTATTGGTTCTAATTCTTCTTCACAACATGACTAATGTGAAAATATATTTAACAGGAATGTATATGTAAAGCCTATATCAGCTTGCACACTGACTTAGGGAGGGAGGAGGGGAGAGGTGGGGAGAAAATTTGAAACTCAAAATCTTATGGAAGTGAACGTTGAAAACTAAAAATTAATTCATTAATAAAAAAACAGCCAATCTGGGGCCCATATGCACCACTTCTCTGACTACTTCCTGACCTTCAGGCCTCTTTCCTTCCCAGGATCCTTACCTACTTAGCATGTCTGATAAGATATCCAGAGCCTCCAACTGCACAGACACATCCTCTTGCTTCCCAATGGCTCCAGTGAGCTGGGACGTGATCTTTTTACACACGTTGGCTGCCATGGCAGAGCCTGGAACAAGGAGGTGAGAGACAATCGGGGCAGTGCCAAAAGACCCATGATTCCAACGTGTGGAATGCACATATAGCCAGATAATATCTGTACTGCATTTATCAAAGTGCCTGGCACATAGTAGGTGCTTAATAAATGCTTCTTTCCCCCACCCCTTCCCTCTAACCATCCTTAGTCATCAATATGCAGCATCCAGCCCTGTGCCCATCACTGTCCAACTCAGTTACAACAGTGGTTTGGGCTTTTGAGGTTTCAGTGGTATGGCCAAACACTGGTTACAGCTTTTAGGCTGATAAGGTAAAGCCATATCAGAAAGTATGGGGTGGTGGAAATCGTGCAGAACTTGGAGGCTGAGGGTTCAAATCTCCGCTTTGCCACTGGGTTACTTCCTCAAGGCTGCACAGTTAATAACTGTCAGAGCCAGGCCAGTGGGAAGAATGGAGGATCTAGCTGCTTAGCTCTCTACCTGCCTCAGTTTCTTCATCCGTAAAAGGAGGGTGTTTCTGGAGCAGGTGACCTCTAAGGTCCCTTCCAGCTTAGATCTGAGATCCTCTGATAACAAGGCCAACGGTCTCACCATCGCACTCTCCTGCCTGCCTCTGATGTGTGTTCTTGTCCCCCGTTAAAGTGTAAGCTTCTTGAGGGCAGGCACTGTCTTTTTGCATTTGCGTCCCCAGTGTGTAGCACAGTTAGCGCTTAATAATGATTTTTTCCTTCACTGCAGACACTGCTGCACCAACCTAAGCAAAACCGCAGCGTGATAATGAGATTTTCCTATATCAGCCAAAAAGCTTCAGCTTGTAAAACAGGGTCCTGCTGGAGCCAGGCTTTAAAAAGGTCTAGGTGATACAGCAGCGGACTCCGTGATCAAAGGGTAGCAGAATTAGCAGGGCCCTGGCGGGTCGAATGCTCCCAGCCCTTCACTTTACAGACGAGTAACCCAAGGGAAACAAAGAGGGAAACTGACAGCAGAGCTGGGACTGGAACCCAGGCCCTCTCAACTCCCAATTCACTGTTCTTGGCATTGTACTAGTTCTCCCTCCTGGGGCTTCAGGCATGATAATAATAAGAGCTAGCATGATGAAGGGCAGCTAGGTGGTGCAGTGGCTAGAGTGCTGGGCCTTGAGACAGGAAAACCTGAGCTCAAATCCAGCTTCAGACACTTATTAGCTATGTGGCTCTGGGCAAGTCACTTAACCCTGTCTGCCTCAGTTTCCTCATCTGTCAAATAAGTCGGAGAAGGAAACAGCAAATCACTCCAGTATATTTGCCAAGAAAACCCCAAATGGGGTCACAAAGAGTTGCATATGACTGAACAACAATAACAAAGCATTTATATGCTGTTTTAAGGTTTGAGAAACATTGTACGTATCTGTATAGATGCATCTATATATATATATAGATCTACATACATATCTATCTAGATGTGTAGATTTATACATGTGTCATATATCCATGACGCCTCATTTGATTCTCCAGTAACTCTGCCAGCCGGGTGCTGTCATTATCCCAATTTTAAAGATGAGAAAACAGGCAAAGGGAGGTTAAATGACTTACCCAGGGTCACACAGCTAGTAAGTATCTGAGCAGGATTTGAACTCAGGTCTTCCTGACTCCATGTCCAAGCTCTCTATCCACTTATACCACCTCAGGGCCTATTACGAGGGCAATAAAGAATGTGTCTTTGAGGAGGTCAGGGCAGCTGGCCAGGACAAAACACTGGCCATGAGAAATCTACCAACTAGGCAATCTATGGGCAATAAATCAGAACTGCCTCACCATCTTCTGGTAAATGGCCTAATTAGGTTAAATCAACTCATCAGACTGTCTAGATCCAAACCAGGGTCACCCCACCGTGAGTCAGCCCCTTATGAAGCCTCATCCTCACTCCAGCTCGTCTGTCCCCGGGCAGCAGATGTTTGGCATCCGTGCCTCTGAGGGAGCTGGGGAAGGAGTGACGTGATGGGGCACGTGCTTAGGATTGTTGACCCATACTGGAAGGCACCTTTGTCCTGAGAGGGAGGGATTCAGTGTCTGGTGAGTGTAGTGAGGATAAGCCATACTTCACGGGGTTCAGAATATCGATGGTCAGGAAACATCTATGGGGCAGCTCCTATGTGCCAAGCACCGTGCCAAGCCCTGAAGTCTGAAGTTACAGGACTGGTTCCCTTGTCTTGCTAACAAACTGGTTTCTGAAGGTTGTGCCAAGCCAGGAGTTCCCAGAATGGGCCAAGCAAGGCCAGAATCCCCAGGAGAACGCTCTGAAGGTGATGGCAAGTCCTTTGGGTGAGCTTGTTAAATAATACAAGTCTTGTACTTGATGTCTTGCCAGGCTTGGTCCACTGAACCTCCTCACTCACAGAGGGTGGGGACCCACTCTTCTCCTCACACTGAGCTGAACTGAAAAGGGTGCTGGGGGCTTCGGCTCACGTCCTGTCTCTGCCACCTACTTAGGACAGTCACAAACTCCAAGCCTCTGTTTCCTGCAAATATCACTTCTCCTCCCACTTGTCTCATAGGGTTCTAGTTTGAGGCTTACATGAGCTAATGTATAGTGAGGTGGTGCAGTGGAAGGAGTGCCGGACCTGGAGTCAGGAAGATCCAAGTTCAAAATCTGGCCTCAGACACTTACTAGCTGTGTGATCTTGGGCACATCACTTAACCCTGTCTGCCTCAGTTTCTCTATCTGTAAATTAAGCTGGAGAAGGAAATGGCAAACCACTCCAATATCTTTGTCAAGAAAACACCAAATGGGGTCACGAAGAGTCAGACATGACTAAAACGACAAAACAATACAGAGCTGTCCCTATGCCTATCATTGTTCATTACAAAGGGGCCAAGGAGCAGGAGGGACTGAGGTTAGCCTCCTCAAAGAAGAATTATTCTCCCGAGTTGCAGCTGCTATATTCTGAACAAACAGGAGGCACACCCAGCTGACTGGGCTGGTTTGGGTGTGGTCGTTTATCTGGAGGCAGAGGGATGGAAGCAGCACTGGATAGAGCACTGGACTTGGAGTCAGGAAGAGCTGGGTTCAAATCCTGCCTCAAACTCACTACCCAACTGGCCAAGGCTCTTTGCCTCTCTGTGCCTCAGTTTCCCAATCTGTAAAATGAAAGGGTTGGTTCTAAGATCTCTTCTAGTTCTCAGTCTAGGATCCCAGGAACGCAGAACCCATCTAGGCAACGGAGGTTAACTTGTGCTCCCCCAGAAATCCTAGGACTATCTACAGAGGGGGTTAGGGTTAGGTACCTGTGGATACAGGTGGGAGTTCAGAGATGACGGTTTTCAGGCCCATGCCAGAAATATCCCGGAGCTGCTCCTTGTCAGACAGCATGTTGGTGCAGAGGGTGTCCACAATGGTCTCCACCTGGTACTCCTTCACTTTGCCCACCAGAGGGCCCAGGCTACCAAGAAAAGGGAGAGAAAATGTGACATGGTCACGTTCAACGAGTCCCTCCCCATTGCCTCCAAATTCACCTGAGGCAGGAGAATTCAGACTAAACTGCCAGATCTCGCAGGAATAATGGAGGTCTCACCATTTTGTTAGAATCTTAGGATCAGAGACTTAAAGATGGAAAGGACCTTCCATGCCATCTAATCCAATCCTCTTATTTGATAGAAGAGGAAACTGAAGCCCAGGGAAGTGGTGAGCTGCTCAAGAGCACCCAGGTAGTGAGCATCAGAGGTAAGATTTGAACCCAGCTCCTCCGACTCTCTCAGTGTGCATTCCACTGAGGGCTTAAATGAAGAGATCAACTGAGTGATCCCTAGGTTAATGCTGGCAGTCCACAGTCTACTATCCTCTACCATACTCACTTTATTTAAATTTTTCTATCCTTATCTCCACTTATTCTTTCATTCCTTTTCATTCTTTTCTCTTTCTATTCAATAAATGTTTATTGTTTAATCATATGGCCACTTCAGTATTGGGGTGATATAAAAAAACAGAGATGCTAATGAATAACAACTTACTAGAAAGGTGGTAATACAAACCATGGCCTGAGAAGCTGAAATACAAATACCTGTAGAATGGGTTAATAACAAGGTTTAATAGAGTTCTTAACACGGAGACGTAAATTTCATCTCACAGATATCATTGAGAAGTGGGAGGCGGAAGTCACGAATAGGATCTGGTATGGAAGGGGTATATCTTACTAAAAAGGGACAGACTGGAGTGTGGTGGTGTATTCTTGGCATCAAATGGATGAAAAAGCATTTACTGAGCACTTACTCTGCCATCGGCCCCGTGGCATGAAAATATGACGGTCCCTGCTCTCAAGGAGCTCACATTATAATGGGAGACACACAACCAAGAGAGATTTCAGTTGCAAGTCAGATGGAAGGGTCTCATAGTCCTTAGGGCGCAACTGCAAAGTGGATGGCAATGCATTCCAGTTAGTATAATGTCAGCTGACATCCAGAAGACAGAAACCTACATAGAGACCTAACACCCAGGAGGAAGAAACAGCATGATGGAGGGCATCCTGGTCAGGAACCATAAGGGAAAAGCAGAAGACATATTATTATTGGAATCTATTAATGAGTGAAAGGAAGGGCTGGCATAGAAAACAGAGAACCAATCTTAAAGTCAAGAAGATCTGAGTTCAAATCCTGCCTCTGTGACTGGAGGCAAAGACAGTTAACCTGTTAGTGCTCCAAACAAGTCTTTAGGACTCTAGGCTGCAGAGCAGGTATTGATGTGTAATGATAATAGAGATACTAGAGTCTTCTCATGGGGAATTCCCTACACCAATGAAATCACAGGCCCCATAAAAAACAATAGCTACTAATGAGCATAGGCCAGATGGAAAAAGTGAATGAGTGCCCAGAGAAGATTACCAAATGGGCGTGGAAGTGTGATGAAGGTCAATGGATGACTTCAGCTATTTGGACAAATGCTAGAGGCCTCTTTCTGCCGCAAGCCAACATATAGGATTGATTTGGGTGAACTAGATACAAAGACTTTCATGGCACATTATCTTTAGCAACAACAAAACTGAATACAGTTGAAATTATCCAGTGATCAGAAGGGGCAAGAAATAAACGGCATTATTACATAAATATATTATTAATTAAATTAATTAAATAAAATATATTAATACATAATTAATTAAATGCATTATTAACAGAACAGAGCACAAAAATGCAACTAAAGCAAATGGGTACAAGAAATACAAGGAAATCTGGGAAGATTTAAAAGAAATAACACTAGGACCAGGAGAGTGGATGTGCCAACTGTTACCACCTGAAACTAAAAGTGAAACACAGTAAATGGGCAGAGTCCTGATAAGGGCTTTGAGGGGAGTATGGGAAAGCATCAATGCAGAAAGCATCCTTACAGGTCTTCCGCTCTCTTGTCTTTATCAGGATTCTTCATTTGTCATAAGACTTTTGGTCTTATACAGTTAAAGAGCGGGAAGGGACCTCAGATGCCCATCCAGTGCGACCCCCCTCATTTTTTCAGATGAGGAAACTGAGGCCCAGACAAGGTAAGTGACTTGTCCGGGATCAGATGGACAGTGAGAGGCAGGCAGGATTTGAACCTCCAAAGCCAACTCTCTCTTCACTGAACGCTGAGAGCTAGATTGGGAGTCAAAGGACCTGAATGGAATCTTAGCTCTGATCCTTAATACCTGTGTGACCCTGGGGAACTCACTTCAGCTCTTTGGGACTCAGTCTCCTCATCTCTAAATTGGGGGAATTGGTCTAGATCAGAAGTGTCAAACTGTGTGATCAGAACCGGATTAAAATGTAATTGGGAAATATTTAAGAAAATAAATAAAAACACAACAGAGCATAGCTAATGTTAATATGGGATATTCTAAGTCAATATGAGGCTCACAGGGATCCTTAGACATGGTTTAGACATCCCCAGTTCCATTTGAGTTTGACAGCACTGGTCTCGATGGCTCTGAAGTTCCCTTCAAAGTTGTTTTTTTTTGGGGGGGGGAATGGGCAATTGGGGTTAAGTGACTTGCCCAGGGTCACACAGCCAGTAAGTGTCTGAGGCTGGATTTGAACTCAGGTCCTTCTGACTTTAAGCCTGGCGCTCTATCTACTGTGCCACATAACTGCCCCTCCCTTCAAACTCTTAATCTATTATCCTACGATCCTATGAAATTAACTGATTTAAATTTAAATATTTATTTACTAAGCAAATTAATTTTGGTTTCATTGAAATTAAATTTTTATAAATTATGAAAAATGACAATAAAGAGAAAACAGAACTACTCAACAACTATTCCTCTTGTTTTCTCTACTAAGGAGAAGGATCTTTAAACTAAAAAGATGAAAAGGAAATTGAAGCCCAAAATCAGTGAAATAGTAAGAAGGCAACTCCCTTCCCTCAATGAGTTAAAACTTAGACCAGGGGTGGGAAACCAATTAATAAAAGCATTTGTTCTGTGCAGTCTGGATTCTGTCAAAGAGCCACACTTGAGGACCTAGAGGGCCACATGTGACCTCAAGGTCACAGGTTCCCCACCCCTGGCCTAGACTAACAAAATCCCAAGGTAATGAAGAATGGGGATGTCCAAACTGAACTTCTCTCAGGGAACAATGAAAGACCATGAGGAGAAAGTAACTTTTTCTCATTGAAAAAAATCAATTTTGTTTTAAAGTTAAATAAACAAAAAAGAAAAGGAAAAATTCATGGAGAACAAGAGAGATTCCATGGACCTGTAGATGCTCAAATGTTATCTCAAAGTGCAGGCTTTTTTATCAATTCCATTTGCATTAAATATATCTTGAAGGTACCAAATTGTTTGCATATTGTCTTTCCCATCAGAATGTAAGCTCCTTGAGGGCAGGGACCATGTTTTTGCCTTTGTTCATATCCCCAGTGCTTAGCACAATGCTTGGCACATAGAACCTACTTAATCAATTTTGGTGATTGATTGATTCCTGGCAAAATTCTAGAACAGATTATTAAAGGGATGTTCTGTGAACACTACAGAAATGGGAATCACTATACAAATCAGCTTGCATTGGGCAAGAACAAGTTAGACCAGACCAAAATTATTTCCATTTCTGGATTCAATTTCTAGACCACAAATGTCCACCTGGATTTCTACCCATCTTTTGGCAGTTTGTCATGATATAACAGAAAAGACGGAGAGAAACAACTTGAGTGAAGATGCAGTCAGGTAGATTCAGAAACCAGTTGGAAAAGAAGGTCCAAAACCCATGAATACCTTAGACCAAACACTTGACACTTACTAGTTGTGTGACCCTGGGCAAGTCACTTAACCCCAACTGCCTAAAAACTAAAACAAAAACAAAAACAAAAACACCATGTATAGTGAATGGTTCAATATCTATTTGGAGGGGGATCTCCAATGAAAGTGCCCCAGGGCTCTGTCCTTAGCCCTATTCTGTTCAATATATTTATTAATGACTGGAATGATGGCATGCTTATCAAAACTGTTGGTGACAAAGTTGTGTGGAATAATAAAAATACTGGATGTCAGAATTAGGATTAAAAAAAAGAGATCAAGAGTTCTTAATCTTTTGTCAACCTAGACGCCTTTGGCAGTCTGGCGAAACCTAGAAACTCCTCAGATGAATATTTTTAAATGCATAAAACAAAATACATAGGATTACAAAAGAAACCAGTTATATCAATATTTAATTAATTAAATCAAATTTAAAATTATTTGATATTTTAATTTACTATTAATTTATTATATTCCATCATATTCATTATATTATTAATATATATATATATGATATAAATATAATAATTATATTAATTGATTTAGTTAGTAATTAGTTTAATTTAATAAAATAATTTAAATTAATTAAATTTAAGATTTAAATAAATTAAAATATTTACGATCACGTTATTGGACCCTAGGTTAAAAACACCTGGTTTAGCATGAGGTACCAGGTCTACGAAGATTATGCTTGCCTCTATTAAATTTCAAGTTCTAGATTTGAGTTCAAAAATTCAACCTCACAATTGCAAGATGAGAGAAGATGGGGTTAGACAGCAGTTCACGTGAAGATGTAGGTGTTTTGATGGTTTTAGCAGGAGTCAATACAAGTCAATAGTCTATCAGGCTGATTTTAATGGTGTCAAATATAAGGAGGTGATAGTCTTGTTGTCCTGTGCCCTGGTCAAGATGAATATGCTCCGAGTATGGTGTTCACTTCTGGGTGAGACATTTTAGGAAGATGTTGACAAGCTGAAGGGGGTCAACAATCTAGGACTGACCTCCTCCCCCACCCCCAGGCCCTGGCCACAGGGACTCCTAACTCCATTCTACACTGAACCCCTAATCCCACCAACCATTTAGCAAGTTTATGCCATCAGTTACCAGGATGGCTAGGTGAGAAAATGTAGGCCGACCAATATAAAACTATTTCTGTGTCACTGGACAAATCCATTCAGAGCCCAGCCCTAGTGGGACCAGGGGGAGGAGGAGGGGAAGGAAAGTACCATTGATGGATATGAAGGTTAGAAAGTAAGTATTATTAAATGGAGAAACCATAGATGAATCCCCACAGAAGGCCAATTGGCTAGAAGAAAGGGGCAATCTATCTCAGCTCAGAATCTTTCAAGGGCATAAAGTACAGAGAAAAAAATGCCATACATCAGAGGTGTCAAATTCAAGATCTTCCAAATGAGGCTAAAATGTAATTGAGAAATGCTTAACAAAATAAATAAAAATACAACACAGATGACGTTAGTTTACGGTTTTCTAAGTCAACATGTGGCCCGCAGGGATCCATTTCTCTTTGAGTTTGACATCACTGTTGTACATCATTCCCAGGACCCTGGCCCACTTTGTTTGGGGCCCCCTGCCCCAGCGCTGGCACATCCCAGTCTTATTTTCCAAAGGGGTCAGGATAGGATACAAGGCACCATTTGTCCCAAGGTATCTGACATTGGTCCCTTCTACCATCCTAACCTCCTGGTTCTCTGAGAGTCACACTTCAACCTCAGCCACTCCCAGCTGAGCTTGATGATGGCTTTCCCTTCCCTTTCCCAATTAGAAGCATTCTACTTCCCTAAAGAAGATAGCCCCCCTTCTCTGCTTTCTGGAACTCCCCTGGTTGGGAGTCCTCAGTCTCCCTCTAGAAGATGCCTTCCTCATCACTCTGTTACCCTTCACTCATGTCCCCATGTGATCAACCCTGAACATGCTAGGCTATCTTAGGGAATGGATGCCGATTTCTTCAGATCCCCACTCACCATTTGACCGCTAAATTCTGCACCTCTCCATTCTTATCTTCTAGAAGCTTTAGCAACATCTTCACCACCTTCTTCTCACTGTCTTCATCCAGCTTAATGGAATCCTTCTGCAGCTCCAACATCAGGTCATTGGTGGCCATGAACCTGCACGGAGAAGAAGCTTGAATCTGGCCTCTGATATTTATGAGACAGGTGCCAATGGACAAGTCGCTTAATTTCTCTGAGCCTCAGTTTCTTTAGCTGTAAAATAGAGATGATATCTGCCCTTCCCACTACACAAGGCTATCTTAGAAGACCAAATGATATTCATTCATTCATTCATTCATTCATTCATTTAACAAGTACTTAAGTAGTATCTACTATGGTGCCAGGCACTGTGCTAGACCCTAGGGAGTAAAAGACAAAAATGAAACAATCCTTGCCCTCAAGGAGCTTATATTCTACCAGTGGGGTGCAGTATATACACAGATAAATCAGTATAAAATATATACAGAGTAAATTCAGTGGGAGAGTGTGGGAAGAGAACAATGGGGTGATCAGACAGGGGGTGTCCCCTGAACTGAGCCTCAATTCCAAGATTCTGATAAGAGTGTGTTCCAGGCATCAGGAAAAGCCTATACCAAGGGCATGGAGACGGGAGATGGGAGATCATGTGGGAGTGATGAAAACAGGCCAGTTCGCCAGTTTGAGAGAACACAGAGGGGAGATATGTGTAATAGGTCACACAATCATAGAATTTGCTTGCCTTCTCAAGGAAGGGGGCAAGGAGGGGAAAGAATTTGGAACTCAAAATTAAAAAAAAAGTAATGTTAAAAAATTTTTTGTTTAGATGTAATTGACAAAATAAAATTTAAAAAAGAAATGTTATTTATTTAAATTTTTAAAAAATTTTAATTAATTATTTTTAGTTTTCAGCAATCACTTCCATAAGCTTTTGAGTTTTAAATTTTCTCCCTCTCCTTCCCTGCCTCCCTCCCCAACACAGCTTGCAATCTGATATAGGATCTACATATACATTCCTATTACACATATTTTCACATTAGTCATGTTGTAAAGAAGAATTAGAGGGGCAGCGAGGTGGCGAAGTGGATAGAGCACCTGCCCTGGAGTCAGGAGTATCTGAGTTCAAATCCGGCCTCAGACACATAGCTGTGTGACCCTGGGAGAGTCACTTAACCCTGATTGCCTCGCAAAAAAAAAAAAAGAAAGAAAAGAAAAGAAAGAGAAACAAATTAGAACCAATAGGAGGAACCACAAGAAAGAAGAAACAAAACAAAACAGAAGAAAAAAAAAGAGCAAATAGCATGCTTTGGTCTGCATTCAGACTCCATAGTTCTTTCTCTGGAGAGCATTTTCCAGCATGAGACTGGAGATGTCTTAGATCTTTGCATTACTGAGAAGAGCTAAGTCTATCAATATTAGTCATCGCACAACATGGCTGTTACTGTGTACAACGTTCTCCTGGTTCTGCTCACTTCACTCAGCATCAGTCCGTACAGGTCTTTCCAGGTTTTAAAGATTTTTTTTTTAAAAATCAGAGAATTTGAAAGTTGGAAGGGACCTCTGAGGTCATCAAATCTGACCCATACCTGAAATGAATCCCCACTTATAAAGAGAATTGACAAATGCCTCTACCTGAAGTCTTTCCGGGGGAGGAGGAAGCCCCCACTGCTCTAGGCAGCCCACTGTACATGGGGATAGCTCTAATTGTTAGAAAGGTTTGTCTGACATCCACCTTCTCTTCCAGTTTCCACCCACTGTTACTGGTTCTGACTTTTGGAGGCCAAAGTCTAATCACCTTTCCACAAGACCAGCCTTCAAATACTTGAAACTTCAAAAACTTGAAACAGCTCTCCTGTGTCCCCCTTCAAGGTTCTCTTCTCCAGGCTAAATTTCCCCAGGAGGAGAGCAATTTGGAACTATGCCCAAAGGCCTATATAACTATGCATAATCCTTTGACCCAGCAATACCACTGCTAGGTTTATATCCCAGAGAGATTATAAAAAAGGGAAAAGGCCCCCCATGTACAAAAACATTTACAGCAGTTCTTTTTATGGTGGCAAAGAATTGGAAATTGAGGGGATGCCAAACAATTGAGGAATGGCTGAACAAGTTGTGGTATATGAATGTAATGGAATACTATTGTTCTATAAGAAATGATGAGCAGGAGGACTTCAGAAAAACCTGGAAAGACTCATATGAACTGATGCTGAGTGAAGTGAGCAGAACCAGGAGGACATTGTACACAATAACAGCAACATTATACAATGACCAACTTTGATAGACTTAGCTCTTCTCAGCAATACAATGATTTAAGACAATTCTAAAAGACTCATGATGGAAAATGCTATCCACATCCAGAGAAAGAACTATGGAGTCTGAATGCAGATCGAAGCATACTATTTTCTCTCTTTTTTTCCCTTTCTCGTGGTTTTTCTTCTTTCACAACCTGACTAATGTGGAAATGTTTAATATGATTGTACATGTACAGCCTGCATCAGATTGTATGCCATCCTGGGGATGGAGAAAGTGAGTGAAGGAGAAAAAAATTTGCAACTCAAAATCTTATAAAAGTGAATTCTGAAAGCTAAAAAAAAATCAAAAATCAAAAATCAAAAAAATTAATTTCCCCAGGGCCATATATTGTAATGACATTGTTGTCATTGTTAAATCATGTCTGACTCTTCATAATCCCTGGATTCACAATCCTCTGGGAGCAGCTCTTCCCTCTCTCCCTAATTTTCAGTCTCTCCTTACCCACTAGTGCCATCCCTACTGTTCATAAACATGCCCAGATCTTCCCTTAAGACAGCCTGTATTTCATCTTCATCGTGCTATCATCCTGTATCTCCCTTTTCACAACCAAACTCCTAAAAAGAAAAAGGAAAGAAAATGTTGTCTACATTCCACTCTCTTCTCTCATTTACTCTTTTACTTCCCATAATCTGTGAACTCATTATTCATTACTCATTACTCAACTGCAACTACCCTTTCCAAGGTTACCCATGATCTATTAAATGACTGATCCAATGGTCTTCTCTCAGTATCTTCTTGATTTCCTGGCAGCAGGACATTGTCTCCTCCTAAACACCCTCTCTTCTCCCCCATAAATAAAGCATAAGTTCCTTGGGGACTGGGATTGCCTTGTTCTTGTCTTTGTATCACCAATACCTGGCACAGTACCTGGAACTCAGTAGACACTTAACAGATGTTCCTTTTTGCTATTCGTTAAAATCACTGTATTTCAGATTTGGGAAGAATCTTAAACATAACAGAGTGCAACCTCCCCATTTTAGAGAGTAGGAAACTGAGGTTCAGAGGTTCATGATTTGTCCATGGTGGTCCAGGCAGTAAAAGCAGGAGAGCTTAGAGTAATTAAAGGCAGCTCTTCCAACTTGAAATCCATAGCTCCTTTCTCTGGACCACCAAGAGCTATCTCTTAAAGAAATGTGGAGAGCAGTACGGTGCAATGGAAAGAGCTCTGGATTTTTGAGCAAGAGAACCTGGGTTTGAATCTCAATTGTGCTCCGTGCTTGTCCTGGACAAGTCATTTTATCTTTGGACTTGGTACAGAAAGCCTTCCTCTCCATGTTACTCTTGGCATAGATAGGCTCAGCATGTGGGCAGAAATGCCTTTCTAGGAGCTACCAGATGTCTCTGAGTCCACTGTGGTCGGGGATGTAGGAGAAAGGAAAGGAAGGACACATTGGTAAAGGAAAAGCTGGAGACAATGGACCCAATTAATTCCATTGCAATGTAACCTCAGATCAATCAATCAATCAATTGACATTTATTAAGCACTTACTATGTGCCAGACACTGTGTTAAATGCTGGGGATACAAAAAGGGGCAAAAGAGAGTCCCTGCCCACAAGGAATTTATAATCTGATGACTGACTGATAATCTCATTTGATAATCTCACAACAGCTCAGAGAGGTTAAGTGTTATTATTATCCCCATTTTATAGTTGAGGAAATTGAAGCAAATAGCATAGGTTACGTACCCAAGGTCACACAGCTAGTAAATGTGGCTGAATTTGAATTCAGGTCTTTGTGACTCTGAGTTGATCACTATACCTTCTGTGCCACTTAGTTCCTTTCTATGGAACCACAGATGACAGACTTAGAGCTGAAGGGGCCATGGTCTACTTCTCCCGTTTTACTGATACGGAACTTAGATACAGACAAGTTAAGTAACCAGACCCAGAATCCCATAGCTACTAATTGCCTAGGGCAGGATTTGAACTCAGGTCCAGGGCCCTATGCCCTATGACATGCTGAGTTATGTCCTGAATGCTTTTATCACAGATTTATAGCTGGATGGGACTTAAAAGCTCATCTCTTCCAACCCTCTCTTTTAGGAGATGTTGGCAAGAAGTTTTCACCCTTACCTGCTTCTCATTGATAACGGCAACGGTTCACGTGGTCAGAGAAAGATTGACAAAGGTTTTATGAGCTCATGTGGTAGGGTAAACATTATTCCCATTTTACAGATGAGGAAAGTGAGGCTCTTAACAGCGCAGAACATAGGTCACACATCTAGTCAGTCAGAGGCAGTATGCAAATCCAGGTCTTTGGACTCCAAGATGGGTATTCATTCTACTAGACCACAATCCCTCTTTGATACAAGTGATCAAAGTGTTTCCTATTTAGAGTCCTTGCATTGCTTGGGATGTTGGAAGAGGTCAGCAGAAAGTCACCTATGCTACAAAGCCTTCTTTTTTGCTTTTTTTTTTCATCCAATAAGTGTTTAAGCACCTACTATGTGCCAGGCAAACTAAGTGCTAAGATGCAAAGACCAAAAAATCAAAACAATACCTGTTCTTCTGGGGGACGGGGAGGGGAGGGGAGGGGAGAGAATACGGGAGAGAAGATGACAAGTTATAGTGGTCAGAACACTGGACCTGGAGTCAGAAAGACCTCTGAGTTCAAATCCTGCCTCAGACATTTACTAGCTCGGCTTTTTAGACAAGTTGCTTAACCTTAGTTTCCTCATTTGTAATATGTAGTAATAATACCAGTAGCACCTACCGATACTACCAATAAAATCACTACTTCACAGAGTTGTTGTGAGGATCAAATGAGGTAATATTAGTGTGGCTAAACAAGTCATGGTATATGGTTGTGATGGAATACTGTTGTACTA